ATTCTTGTTGTGGCGCAGTGCACGGACTGCTTTAGCTCGAGACACGTTGGCCTGTGCCATCACCAACTCGATATCTCTCTGCTCCAGCCCACCCTCATCCAGCTTACAAACAGACAAAGAGAATATGGTTCATCTTAATTTAGCTGCTTTATTCATTCAAACATATTTCTAAAAGGAAAAGGCCATCCAAAAATGGTGTCATTATTTACTGACATTATTTCATCACAGAAAAAAGAAAGACACAAAGGTTTGGAACGAGATGAAGCTGAGTAAATGATGACAGAATGTTTATTTTTTAGGTCAACTATCCTTTAAATGGAGGAAATGAAAGATTTATACCTCCTCTTCTTCCTCGCTCTCTTCTTTTATTGTCAGGCTTGGTGTGATTTCTGATGGCAGAGGTGAGGGGTCAAGAGGAACCTTAAATTTCTCTGCCGCTGCCTTGTGTACCTGTTGTGACAGGTCTTCAATCTGAGAAGAGACGGACAGAAAGCACAGATGAAGATCAATGAACAGATATAAATATTTAAATATTCATCTTGCAATTGGAAATCTGTGCCACTGTAGCCAGATTTTTGGAAGGTATCCTTGCATATGCAATAAGAAACAAAATGATGGGAAAATACTAACCTTGGCCTCTCCAAAGACTATGTAAATATCCGAGGCAGGGCTTTTAAACACATCTGGACGTGTAATAACAAAGAGAATATTCTTGGACTTCCGAATGGTAATGCGTGTCACTCCGTGGATCTGTTTCAGCCCGAGCTTTGACATCGCCTTGTAATGATAACAACCACATGGAGGAAGAGACAGTAGGTCAGGGACTCACAATACAGTGAGTCTTAAAACTGCATGAAACTGCATTTGCAGTCCTACCTTTCGTGCTTTTTTCTCACTTCGACTCTGTTTGGCTCTGCTCACTGACTCATCAGCAGGAGAGTGTGAGAGCTATGAAAAAAAGAAGATATGAAGGATAAAGAGAGCATAGTAGGACCTAACATTGTTCATACAGTAGACTTAACTAGACTCAAAAGTGCAAAAATATAATTTTTTTAGCAATGATGTATGCAAGTATATTTTTGTTGATGCTTCCAACTAATGCTCTGCTGCACTCAAGTAATTAATTGCTGCTTGTTCAGTTTACTTAATTTTAACATTTATACTAGCTGTCCAGTTCCACTTAAGTGTTATTTTTTAAAATCAAGATAAAAAAAAGCATTTAGTGTTATGTTATGTGCATGTTGCTTTACTCACACTTTACACGACAAAGGTTACTTTATAAACAAAGTAGCATTAGTATGTTAACATGCACTACTGCTATGCCAACTAGTAGTTAATTGTAAGATACGCAACTGGTATAGTTTGACATGTAATTTTGAGTTTTATTCAATTCACTCAAGATCACTCATGAATCTACAGCCCACCTGTGGATTTGAGGGTCTCAGCAATGTC